AAACCCTGTCTCGAAAAACCAAAAAAAAAAAAAAATGTAACAGAAAAAAGAACACAAATGCACTTAGATAGCCTTAGTAAAAGCAAACATGGAAAACATTAACCGCAGGTCCCTCCAGAGCGACCTCAAGTTACCTGCCAGGTAGAGGGCGAAGGATATGAACCTGTGGTAGCGAATGAGGAACTGCAGCTGCTCCTCCCGCTGAACAAACGTAGCAAAGTAATCCGCCACCGTCTCTCCATAGAAGAAGTAGTTCACACACAGGAGGAAGTACCTGCAATTCAAACCCATGAGCTTGATGCGTCGGAAGGCTTTCCCCTCAAATGTGACAGAATCACTGCCTGCATTTTGATGGCAATACTAAGATAAAATCAAATTCAGGTGATCAATCCAAAATATGCTCCACCAAAATGCTGTTTTCTCATTTTAAATTTAATTTCAAACCCATCAGCCAATAGCAACCAGCAATCCACCAAAGACAATTCCTGTGTTTAACTCAAAATACAGTATCAGAGATGACAATGTCAAAATAGAACAGTGCACACACACACACACACACACACACACACACACACACACACACACACACAGTGTTAAGTTTATAATGGACAGACAGATGCACACACACACACAGTGTTAAGTTTATAATGGACAGACAGATGCACACACACACACAGTGTTAAGTTTATAATGAACAGACAGATGCACACATGCCTTGTACACACATACACAGGGTTAAGTTTATAATGAAAATTAACTCCTGGCTGCTCCGTGGTCTCCTGTTTGATAACTAACAGCGAGGACACAACCCCACCTCATGAAGCAAGTGAAGAGGGCAAGGAGGGAGAGGTGGATGAGCATCTCCTCCCTGCCACCATTGCCCTGCACATAGTTCTGATGTCTTTCTCAGTTCTTCTCAATGCCCAGGAGGACCCCGATTGGTTCTTCTTATTTTGATTTAATGTGTGTGTGCGTTTCCCATATATTTTATGAGAAGTGGAGAAAAGCGCTAGGATAAAATTCCCTCATCAATATCAGTACTAACCCCTCCACTTCCCCATCTCTACGATCTTATTACCTATCTCAGGCTGGCCTTGACCTCTCAGGCTGGCCCTGACCTCTCAGGCTGACCTTGACCTCTCAGGCTGGCCTTGACCTCACGGTCCTCCTGCCTCAGACAATCAGCAATTGAGCCAGTTGCTGTGGTTTGGATCCCAGAACCAGGGTCACAGTCACAAGCCACCACACTCAGGTTAGGAACTACTTAGACTATTCTAAGCCCCAAAGGTAAGATACATCTATCTTAGGAAGACAGTGACTTCCTGGAAGTGTTACGGCGTTACTTCCTTAAAGGTATGACCACACAGCCCGACTAGGATCTATTGTTACGCAATGTTTCCTACTCAAGGTCTTGACAGCAATGAGTGCCTGAAATGTTTAAAAAAATACATAAGGCAAACTTTATACATATATGCACATATCAAATATATTGTGTTCTCTCATCAACTGGGAAAATAATAAGAAAGCTTTTCATAAAATTATGGCCAGGAAGAAAATAAAATGGCAAATATATTAATCATGAATTCGACGTCATTACAAAGCCTGAAAGGCAAGCTTGCAGCAGGCTGTGCTGGAGGAGGAGCGAAGGTTATTTTCTGTACAAACACAGTTTCAGCGTGCTTCTCTTTCTCCAAAATCATTCTGCAGTTTAAACATTTAGAAATGAATCAGATTTGCATAACCAGAGCAGTTCACAGTCACTCACCAACTCAGCGTTCTAAACCACGGAAGGTCATAGGAATGGTAGACTCTGTACCCAATGGTGATGATCTCGTGGAAGCATTTCACTTGGATGCCCAGAACCTGCAAATAAGACGAGGTAGCGTGAGTTCCAGTGTTTGTGTTTGTGCTGTGTTACTTTAAAGCAACAATTCTTAATCTACCAACTCCTACTAAACGGCAATAGCAAAGAGGCAACATCCACTCTTCCAAGGGAAACCGTGCCTAATGGAGCAGCAAAGGAATATTCAGATGAAGGCCTGAGATCTTCCCAGGAGAGCCAGGGGCAGCGTCTCCTGGGCAGTTGGCGGGCCTTATCCATTTATTTTTATTATTTATTTCCATGTATTCACAATTTCTCAAGGTGGATACTCTCTTTTGAGACGGGGTCTCACACTGCAGGGCAGACTGGCCTCTAACTCCCCCGCTCGCTTTCTCAGCCTCCTGTGTTACAATGACAGGTACGACACGTCATTTCTGTCGCTTGGATTACTATAGGAAAACACTGGCTTAGCCAAGTCTGCTTGTGTATGTGTATCTTTAATCACATGTTCCAGCACACTTAGAAAGATGGTGGCATGGCCCTTTAATCTTGGCACACAAGAGGCAGGACAGCAGATCTCTGTGAGTTCAAGGCTCTCCTGGTCTCTACATAAGTGAGGTCCAGGACAGCCACAGCCAAATAATGAGACTCTACCTTTAAAAAAAAAAAAAAAAAAAAAACAGATGATGTCCAGGATGAATAATCACACCATCTTCCACTCTTCCTTCTCAGAGCTGAGCAGACTGTCCTACAGCCAGCGACAGTTCTGGTCAGTGTGAGCAGAGTCACCATCAGTCTGGCACACGTGCACACTTGGCCCAGACAACAACCTTGGTGGAGTTTCGTTTGCAAGGCGTCCTTGTGTTCATGAGTTGTTCTGCTAATGGCCCCTCCCAATGACAAACCCACAGATCTAGGTGCAGCTTCAACATCTTACTCAAGCCTGGCCAATTCCAAGACTCAAAAGGCACGATGAAAACCTCTGAACCAAAAGGGAGAGTCTTGGTGAACACAGCAAATTATTTTCTTTCCTCTCAACAGCACAGCCAAGGGCTTATGACTGTGCAATCTTGTACAAGAATAAGACTTTTATAGGCTTAAAGAGTTTAAAAATCAAAGATTATAACAGACCAATTTGCAACTTAGAATCTAAAATACTACTATTTGGCCTTTCACTGAAAAAGGTTTCCAAACTCATGTTTGAAGGTTTGTAGTTTTGAACATTTCTTGGGGTCTGGGGAAATGAGTCAGTGGGTAGAGAGACCCACTGCTCAAGCATGAGGACCTAAGTTGACTTGCATGAAGTTCAAAGCCCAGCACCGGGGGAGGGGCGGGGCAGACAGCAGGTGCATCCCAGGGCTCGTGGGCCAGACAAAGGCTACCGGAACATCAAGCTCCACCTCAGGGAAAGGCCTCTGTCTCAAAACAGAAGGCGCAGAGAGACAGACCGACACTCAACAGCAATCCTCCACCTCCAGGATGCACACACAGGAAAGTGCACACACAAAATTGCACGTGTGTGCATGCACACAAACATGCACACAAGAGGAAAGACAGAGAGAGAGAGAGGTTTCTGTAAACTAGCCTTCTCAAGTCTGTCTTTCAGGATATTTTTAAGCTATTCTACCATCAGATATTTATTACATGTCCAATCATATACTTTAAAAAAGTAAATGTTCTCTTTTGCCACATAATAAAGAAGTATTTATTATCCCAAAGTACAAGAAGTACTGGTAGCACAAGTCATTAGTGTATTACAAAAACAAAGAAGATTTAAAGGTCATTCTTCAAATAATCTTTGTGTAAATATGAAATAAAAGGTTATTTTCATATAAATAATCACAGAATGGGGACAAAGTTCAGTGTGGAGACAAAATGGCAAACCACACTGTTTACAGAACACAGAGCTTTTAAAATATCCAGTGTCGTGATGCAATCTCTATGAACACACCCACTCAGCACTGCACCGTCTCCTGAGAGGAGGAAAAGAGGGGCTTTATTTAACAGCCATGTTATCTGTGTGCTTATCATTACAGCTGGCAAGGAGGATACAGAATGTCCGGGAAAACCAAATAAGGAATTCCAAACACTAGAGTCAAAACTCTTTAAAATATATTTACAGTATTAAGGACTAGGAGATTACACAGAAATTGATACATCATGCCACTGAAACTGGTAGAAATAAACACTGAAAGAACTCCACTGGTCCAATTAATGTGTTTAAGAGCCTTAAAAACAAGAGCCAATTCTTTAGCAGCCCACTTCACTAGCCATGAGGACTCCTGGAAATGCTTCCCGGCATTTGCTTCCAGACAGTCTGCGAAGAAGCATGCGACTCTAATGGCATGTGGAACTAACCACACACACCTGTGGTGGGGGACAGATGGACAGCGGCAGCACCAAGGCACAGAAATAGGCAGTCGGTGTGTCTCGGATGACTGAGACACGTTAGGGTGTGTCTGGATGACTGAGGGTATGTCCCGGATGACTGAGGCATGTTAGGGTATGTCTCGGATCACTGAGGCACATTAGGGTATGTCTGGATGACTGAGGCATGTTAGGGTGTGTCTCGGATGACTGAGGCCCGTTAGGGTATGTCTGGATGACTGAGGCATGTTAGGGTATGTCTCGGATGACTGAGGCACATTAGGGTATGTCTGGATGACTGAGGCACATTAGGGTATGTCTCAGATGATTGAGGCATGTTAGGGTATGTCTCAGATGATTGAGGCACATTAGACTATGTCTCGGATAACTGAGACACGTTAGGGTATGTTTCAGATGACTGAAGGTATGTCTCGGATGACTGAGGCACGTTAGGGTGTGTCTTGGATGACTGAGGCCCGTTAGGGTATGAATAAGTAGTTCAGAGCTGTGAGGATACACAGTGGTGGACGGTAGCAAAGGAATGACATGAGAAGACATGAATATTTGGGACAATGGGGTGGGGGCGGGGCACTAATGAATGTCAAGGTGGCAAAAGCAGGCAGTAGTTCAGGCTAGGTGACATGACCGAACCAGCAGAGCGTCACGGGGACGTGGAGAAACTAGTCAGTGACGACGGAACCTGGGAATGTGCCGCCTGACAAAAACAGCATGCAAGAATTTATTTCAAGGTTTTAGTTCAGACTTTTGGGGATATGTGGTGAGGTAAAACATCAAGATGGGGGGTGGAACAGAGCCGTTCACTCCAGCAGGCCAGGCCCAGAATGAGACACAAGAGACAAGGACAGGATACAGTGCCAACAGCTGCTCTGCCTACCTCCTCCAGCCGGCCCTCCTTTCAAAGTTTCCACAGCTCCGGCGGACAAGTCCGTCAGCCGGGATCCCTGGCTAGGTCAGACCCCTGGTGATCACTCTCTCTCGATGATTAGATCACCGGGTGGAAACCAAACCTTCAACTTAGGAGCCTTTCAGGGGACATTAAACCATAACAGAATGGCTAAGGATGAGGAGGGAACACAGAGTGGAAAGGAAAGCCTGGAAGAACGGATTTATGCAGGACAGCTGGGGGTCACACAGGACTGTGGGCTATACAAACAAAAATGTCTATTTTTATTCTAGGAACCTATTTTAAGAAGATAATCTGATTTATTACATCAGAACTTATTTGCACCCAAGTATGTTCAAAATTAAAGATGTTCTCATTAAAGAAACAGAACATAACCTGATTGTTTAAAAATAGCACAGTGATTTAAGGAAGACAATGCTTCACATTCCATTTTAGAGCAGAAAAGGTTAAAAAAAAACACCCTAAATACTTTAGGCAGGTTATGATCCTCTTTAAAAATCAGGATCCAACTGAGCATGGTGCACACACCTGGGATCCCAGCACTGTGGAGGCTGCAGGACTGCAAGTTCAAGGCCAGCGAGGGAAATACAGTGAGATGACCATCTCTAAGAGTTCTGAACTTCATCACGGAAAAGCAGTCTGGCCCTTCTTGGGAGCAGCGTCATCCCCTGACTTCCTGAGCTGAAGACATTTTTTTTATTGTGACTAATTTTACTTTCAAATGTACTTTTAATAAAAGGAAAACCACACCAGGTTGCTGATAATCACATCCATTCTCAGCAGGACACGGGAATAAAGGACAGGGAGATGGGTAGATAGATGCATTCATGCTCTGCTGTAGGCAGGAGACCGGCAGGGTGAATACATGGAAGAGGCTGAATGAGCTGAGCTGGGCTGAAGAAAGCAACAGAGTAGAAAAGGGAGAGTCTGCCACAGCCGCCTGGTACACCAGTGTGTCCCCGGAGGGCACGTGCCACGGTGGGAGCAGTGGCCACAGCCGCCTGGTACACAAGTGTGTCCCCGGAGGGCACCTGCCACGGTGGGAGCAGTGGCCACAGCCGCCTGGTACACAAGTGTGTCCCCGGAGGGCACGTGCCACGGTGGAAGCAGTGGCCACAGCCGCCTGGTACACAGTGTGTCCCCGGAGGGCACGTGCCACGGTGGGAGCAGTGGCCACAGCCGCCTGGTATACAAGTGTGTCCCCGGAGGGCACCTGCCACGGTGGGAGCAGTGGCCACAGCCGCCTGGTACACAAGTGTGTCCCCGGAGGGCACTGCCATGGTGGGAGCAGTAGTGACTGGCCGGGGAAGGGTGGTGGTGGTGAACAGTTTTATCCTGAGAGCTTGTCATCTTCTCAGCTCCTCCTCACATAGTAATAATGAAGGACACTGTGTGCGCCCCCAAGAATGGCCGTCACTATTCACTGCTAAGCCATGCTTGGATCCCTGGAAACACTTGGATCAATCTGTTGAACAAATGGATTTCTCCTGGCTCCCACAGCTGAGGTATACACTCTGTGAGGAAGACCTCCCCTCCCAAGTCCTCTCACCATCCCCTTGACTCCTGTTCAACCTTCAGATGGAAGATCAAGTGTTGGGCAATGCTTGCAGAGAGTCTGCCAATGCCTTTTCTGCTCTTACAGTACTGTCTTTATTTAAAGCACTGCAGTTGGTCATTAGAAGCAGCTAATCAGTTCTTTACAGTGTAAACAGCCAGCACCATCAAAACAGAGCTTGGTATGTTTTCCTCAGCAGCACCACCATTAACATACCCCGGTGCTACGGTCATTCCTGGTGCACACCAGTCACCTTGAAGGCATTTAGGAAATGAATGAAGTAAGAGCTTAATTTGTCTGCTTGCCCTCATGACTTGTTTGGCTTCCCGTACACAACACCTAAGTCTCTCAGAAGGGCGTCTACTCAGCTCTCCAGTCTCATCCCTAGCGGCCATCCACAGGTCAAGCCGGATCCTGTGAGGGCGGTAACACCTTCTCAGCAGCCCCTGCCTTGACCATGGCGTATCCACCTTGAACTCCACCTTGCTCTCTCTGTGTCATCTTCAAGCTTAGGCATCATCTCTCTGTAAGCCCTTTGCTAGTCCTCTTTTAGACCGGATGACATGCTGGTGCTCCACCCTTGTGCTCAGAACATGGCCTGTCACAAGACTTACCACTGTGTAGTCCTCTGACTGACTGAGTGCTTCTGCTGTTACACTAAGTTCCTTCAAGTCAGGGAGCTAGTCGGATATAAATACGTGGAAGTGGTATGTGCGTTTCTGCCATACCTAATCCTCTGCGTGGTACTGGACACACAGATGTCTGTGTATTAAGGCACACTTGCTCTCTGCTGAACGGGCACACTGAGGGACTATTTTGCAAACAGTAAAAGATTAGTCTGAATCATTTCATGAACTAGAAGTTGCTTAAAGGAACTGAAATTGCTGTTCCAAGTCTCGGGTTACCTTTTTATTATTATATGCTCAAATTACTTCAATGGTATGTAAATACAGAGAAAACAAGGAAGGCGTCGATCACTTACCAGAAGCATCAGCATGAAGGACCCCATATAGATGATCAGGAAAAAGAGGGAGATCATGGTGAGGGTGAGGATGCCCCGGACCCACCAGTTCTTCCACCTACAAAGAGGTTTATAGAGTCAGTGTTCAATGGTGTGGTTTTAGAGCTTTGGGATGTGTGGTTTCAGTACCTAACTCGCAGAGTTGGGCCTTTCTCCTAACTGTTCTTTAAGGATATTTTATTTCATTTTATATAATAACAGCAACAGTTGAAATTTTACATTATGGGGGTTGGGGATTTAGCTCAGGAGTAGAGCACTTGCCTAGCAAGCACAAGGCCCTGGGTTCGATCCTCAGCTTCAGAAGAAAAAAAAGCAAAAAACAAAAACAAACAAACAACAACAAAAAAAACAAACCAAATTTTACATTATGTTAACTGAAGAAAGAAGGTGATTGTTGTTACCGATGAGTGGGGATAAGTCACAAGGATGGGGAGTTAGGTGGTCAGCCTTGATGTGGGGACGGGCCATCCCAACGGGGATTTTGTGAGGAGGAGGAGGAGGAGGAGGAGGAGGAGCCTAAAGTGAGTCCTGGAAAGGAAGATCCTTTGGTGGTACTGACAGCAGAGCTCCCAACTGGAAACTCAGGGTTTGTTTCTTAGAGCAGAGCATCCCGGCAGCGACAAAGGGCTAGCTCCTGCCTCAATGAGGACCGATCTCCCTGACTCCTCTGCTTTAAGGACGAGCACCCCTCCCCTCGCATGCTATTCCCTAAAAGAATATCCTTTGGAGGGAGGGGTCCTTGTACTATTTGATCATGCCATGAGGTACGCTGGCAGACACTAAACAAAAAGCTACAGATAATTCTAATCCATGGACTGTCATTTGTAGGTCATGTTAGAATCCCTGAGACTGGGTTCAGAGTCACACACCTGTCGTCCCAGCTACTTGGGATGTGATGATGAGAAGACCACTTGAACCCAGGAGTCTGAGGCCAGCCTGTGCAGCACAAGACCCTGCCTCACAAACAGATTCTGAAAGCACCTGTATATAGATCATTCCGGGTCCAAACTCGCCGCTGTTTTTCTTTATGATTGTAGTGATTTTTACCACATAGGCTTTAGGCCCCACAAAGTAGGAGGATCCCATGGATTCGAACCCCTTCTCCTATGTCCCCTGAGTCAATAAAACCTCCATGAGTTTCACCAGCAATCTTCGTAAAAACCAAGGTCCTCAGCTCCATGTGCTGGATGTGTATTGTGCGAATTCAAAGAGCATTTGAATACTGAACTGAAGGAATGATTTGTGTAAGTTGTACATTGTTCTCTGCACACGGACTCCTCCTTTGTTACACTGTCTGCTGAGGGCGTGGCAACCAAATACAAATGCATCTTGTATAGAGCATTTGCTCAGCAAATATTGGATGAGATACTGAGCCACCCAACAGGTTAATAAAAAATATAAGACATAAAGTTAAAAAAAGATTCTCAGGCAGGACCAGCAAGATGGTTCCGCAGGTAAAGGCGCTTGCTGTGCAGGCCTGGTGAAGGCGAAAAGCAGGAACAGACTCTAGAAAGTTGTACTCTGACTTCTGACCTTCACACAACAGTGCTGTGGCTCATGTGTACATGTGCACATACATAATACATTTTAAAATAATTTTTAAAAGATTTTCATTAGTTGTCACAGCAAACAAAATCCCCGACAAAAAGCAAATGGGGGTTGGGGGGGAACCAGCATGACGAGAAGGCGTGGGGACCTGAACAGCCATGTCACAGGCGATTAGCAGAAAGCAGAAAGCCGGATGCCAATGCTCTGCAGGTGTCTTTCTTTTCCCTTTCCACTCAGTCCAAAAGTCCAGCCCAAGGACCATGCTGCCCATGTGCAGGGTGGAGCTCCCTGCTCTGGCAAGGCTCCCTGTAACCGCGTTACAGTCACACTCCAAGTGTCTAATGAATGCTCTGGGGGTTTGTGAATCTAACCAAACCGACAATTAAAGTTAACCAGCACATAGGACTTTTATTAGTCCCAATAATAACATTTAATTTATATTGCAAAAGATTTTGATTCAATTTAGTCTAGTTCATGCATTTTATTCTAGGCCCAGGTCCTCTCTCTTTTTACAACAGAATTATTAGCTGATTTCAGCTACTTATAAAATACTGGCTATATTGCTTGCTTTCAACCATTCTCCTACATTATGTGACTGATTTCATTTTTTTAGACACATAAAAAACCATGAATCCTAAGTGTAGTATTTGTGTGCATGGGGGGTGTGTGGCACTGGGGCTCACACGCAGAAGACCCACGCACTGCATACTAGACAAGGCACAGCCTCACCCCCCCATCCTGCACAATTTAGACACTTCCTCAAATAATCCTTCACTGTCATTTCTGTACTCAAGGATCCAAAACACCAACAGCATGAAAACCACAGCTTTTGCTAGCTTCCCAGGTTTCCCCTGAGGCACTCAAACTGAGTTTACCCTACCATAGTTCCCTCTACTGTTTAGTAAAATATGTAGAATCACGATTTCTCTCATCAGACTTTGAACTTCAGGCCTGAACTAAAAGTCAGCGTACAGTCAGAAAATGCAACTGAAAGGTTCTGTTTAGTTTTAAAGACGTTACTCTGCAGATTAATGAGTGGATTAGGGAACTGGGCTAAGTCATAAAGCCAGGCAGAGGCAAACCAAGGGCCTTAACCCAGCCAACGGCGATAATCCTGTCCTGTCTGCATGAAACCCAGAATCATATCTAGCCTTCCCCTAGAGAAGTATCAGAAGCCAGTCCTGGATGGGGACCGCCACCATTCAGACGTCAGCCATGTCTGGTCTGAGCTGCCGAGAACCAGAAATATCAGGAAAACATCCACTCTCTTCTCATCATCTTATAATTACAGTCACCACAGCCTGGGCCCTGAAGGAACACACTCTATTCTGTTTAGCCACTTTTAAAAAAGAGAAAAGTTTTGTTGGCATCCAAATTAATGAGTATCACTGTGATACACTGCTGTTTATGCATATTTATTATACTTAATTTTTAATCCATCCCCCCAATGCCCTCCCCTTCCTCCCCACCCACACATTCCCACTCCATTCCCATCATATGTGCCCCCTCCTCCTCTTGTTCCCCTACTCACTCCCACACCTGCCCCTCCTCTTTCATGGCCTGTGTACACACACACACACACACACACACACACACACACACACACACACACACACACA